GTGACTGGGGTAATCGGGATGGGTGTGTTAGAGGTAGCGTGATTTGCACAGGACAGAGCAGGGTTTAGGGCTGTTGTACATAGGGTCGCTATGAGTCGCAAACGACTCGACGGCACATAACAACAACAACAATACTATGGAAGCTTCTTGAACATCCTTATCATATTGATAGGGGATCCACAAACATTGAAATGAATCAGCTTTAGAATTCAACTAAATCCGAATGAAATATGGACTTAGACATGGGGATATACTAAGGTCTGTCTGAATTCTGAGACTCTATGGTTTCTCTTTTAGGATCCCTTGATCATATCACTGTGTTAACTGATGATGGGAAGCTTGCTTTAAACCAGATTGGCCAAATCTCCATGAAGCCACCACAGCTTATTTTAGTGAACATGACCAACTTCCCAGAGGTAAGGTGATGTGCTCAAAGGTCTCTCTCTTTGAGCTCTCCTTGGAATCAAGCAGATTGAGGGAAGCCAGAAAGAGGTGTTTCTCTCGTTTGGGATATAATGATAGAAGGCATAGTCAAAGGGAATTAAAGATGAAGAGCGGCACTCTTCCTGTTTCTGAAATTTTTGTAGTTGTTGATAAATTCAGATGCTATAGGGGCCAAGCAAGTACCAACACAAGCCCTATCTAAGGAAAACAGGAGTGGAGATATGCAGTGAGTGGCCTTTGCAGTATACGGAGGAGCTAGGAAATAAAAAAGATGAATTGCACTAGGAAAACCTGCTGTCAGGGACCTCTTTAGAGTTCTGAAGAGTAACGATATCATTCTAGAGAGTAAAGTGTGCCTGATCCAGGCCATTGTCTTTGCAATTTCTATGCATTAGAAAGCTGGACAGTGATTAAGGATGATAGAAGAATAATTGATGCCTTTGAGTTATGATGCTGAAAAAGAATATTGAATATACTGTGGATTACTAGGAGAACAAACAGATTCATCCTAGAGAGTTTGAAACCAGGCTACTCCTTGAAGACAAGAATTCTTCTTCATTATTACTATTATTTTTTTATTATTATTATTCTTTTGTGTATGTGTACCATCAAATCAGATCTGACTGGTGCAGAAGTAGATTGCCCCTCCTTCTCCAGCAGAGCATCTGTTGGATTTGAACTGCATGCCTGAAGGCAAGGATTCTGAAGCTCCATCTTATATACTTTAGGCGTGTTGCAAGGAAGGACAAGTCAGTCATTGGAGAGGAACATCATGCTTGGAAGGGTGGAGGGACAGTGTAAGAGAGGAAGACCCTGGATGAGATGGATTGATTCAGTGTCTGGGGTAATGGAGGTGAGTGTGTCTGAGATAATGAGGTTGGCTCAAGACAAAGTACGGTTCAGAGCTGTTGTACATAGAGTCACTATGAGTTGCAAGCGACTTGACGGCACATAACAACAACAGTATAGTAGAGTCCATGCCCTGCTTGGACGGCCAGCTTAGGCTTAGCTCCTGCTACTTATTACCAGGCAGAAAGGTAGCCCACAATCTGTGTTACTGGATTTTTATTTCCAGAAGATATTGGTAACCTTATTTTTAACATGGGATCTTTGTTAAATGTTGCTAACTATTCACTTCCATTTTTTAAAGGCTATAAGCAAATAAAGCATATTACTATGCCCTGTGGGCGATCACTTTGAGCCCTTTTCATTAGTATTTGGAACAGTCCCTTCAGGAATTCACATTCTGTTCAAAGTGGATTATAGGATATTACCCAAAATGTGATGCTATCGAGGCTAGAATGCAGGCTGTATTTGATCATTTCAACGTTGAGACTTTTTGATTTTGAATCTGTTGCGGTAAGTCCAGTAGGTATTGGACTGCATCAGGAGTACTAGGGAACCTTTGTTCTGGTCCTACCCCGACTACCCACTGGTTGGTTGACCTTGTGCAAATTGCTTCACTTTTTAGGTGTTCACTTCCTTATCTTGTAACATGAAGGCACAGGAACATGAAGTTCCTTCCTGTTCTGATTGACTGTTTCAATAGATCCATCCCAAAGACAGACCAACATTGGACCGACTGGATCTGGCAGACTGGGCTGAAGATAATGAGAATTGGAAAGGCCTTGTTATGAACATACTGTCTCAAATTGGAATGCTTTTGTAGTTAATGTGCCAGGAACTCTGTTCTTCATCATTCCCTCATTGCATTAGCCATATATCAGCTAATTGTTATTGTTGTTATGTGCCATCAAGTTGTCTGCGACCCATAACAACCCTATGTACAGCAGTTCTGAAGCCTGCCCTGTCCTGAGCCAGTCTCACTAATTTCAACACACCAATCCCTATATTCCTAATTACTATATCAATCCATCTCATCTGGGGGTCTTCTCCTGCAATGTCCCTCCCTTCCGAGCATGATGTCCCTTTCCAAGGACTGGTCCCTCCTGGCCACATGCTCAAAGTAAGTGAGGCGGAGCTTCAAACTCCTAGCCTCCAAGGAGAAACATGGTTTTACCCTCTCCAAGACAGACCTGTTTGTTTTCTTGGCAGTCCATGGTATGTTCAAGACTCTTCTCCAGCACCACAATTCAAAGACATTGATTCTTCTTCTGTCAGCCTCAGTCATTGTCCAACTCTCTGATGCATAGCAAGTCACTACAAAGACCATGGCTTGGATTAGCTGCACCTTAGTTTCTAGCCTGATATCACTGCTTTTCAGCACTCTAGAGAAGACCCTGACAGCAGATTTTCCTAATGCAGTTCTTCTTTTGATTTCCTGACTGCTGGTGTTAAGAGACTGTGGAGCCAAACTAGAGTGAGCTTTTAAAAAGATATGTTGCATCATGCCCTTCTCATGCTTTAAAAGTATGAGTGGCATTAAGTAATCGTTAAGAACAAGCTCAAAATTCTTAATGTGGCCTTGAAGGCTTTTTTCATGGTCTAGCTCCTCCCTGCCTGTCTCACCAATATTACTAGTCTTATATTGTACCCCTGTCATTGATGCTTTTCACTGTAACCACATTGGCTTTTTCTCAGTTCCCCAAAATCAGTTTTCAGGGCCTTTAGAAATGCTTGGAGCATTCTTGTTGGATAAATACTAGTCATATTTCAGATCATAGTTTAAATATCACTTTCTCAGAGAAGTCTTCCTTACTCCCCAATTGTTGTTGATTGCCTTCGAGTCGAGCATGACTCATAGTGACCCTATGAACAAAAGGCCTGAAGCCCCTCTACAGCTATCGACATTTATCAAAGTTCATTGAGTTTTTGAAGGCATGTTGTTTAGGAAGTGGATTCTACTCCTACTTCCAAAAAATGCTTTTCCACACTAGGCTCTCTTACACAGCTCAGTCCTTTTCTTCATTGTACTCTTATTGATAGTGACACATTTACTTACTTATTTTTATTCCAAATTATTGTAAGTTTGAAATGTAAGGTTTTTTGGTTTTTGTTTTGTTTTGTTTTTTTACTTCTTGTATGCAGTTACTAATACAGTGCATGGCATGTAGAAGCACGGAGTAAGTTTTCCTTGCCTGAATGTGTACTTGTCTTTAGGGTCAGGGAAGGGAAGCGCTCTCTCCTGCTGCCACTGAGGAGCGCTGAAATGGATGAAAAGGGAGCTACCAATTCTTATCCTTTCTGGTTTTCTCTTAACTATTGAGCCATTTCCTCTTCTTTATCTAATCCAGGCCTTAAATTTATTCATCCCCTTGCTGAGAACTTGAATTTCTAATACTGATACACTGAATCAGAATCAACATTAAAAATTAGCTTTTAAGTCTCTTATTCTATGTGTCAGATCACCTATGAATCTATCTGTAAATTTCATCAGGGAATCTATAATAACCACCTGAGAAACTTTTATGCTATTGATTCTGATTCAGTAATACCTGGTGTGGACATAGGGAGCTCTGGTGACTCTAACTCAAAGGTGGCACCTCTTTTGAGATTCAAATCTACCAGTGGCTCTGCAGGAAAAAGATGAGCAATCTCCTCTCAAGCAATTTAGCACCTCAGAATGTCTAACTTCTCTGCAAATGCCCATTAAAATAATGATTAAAATTTTATTAAAAATTAAAAAAAAGAAAATCTGCTGAAGGATCAGCTCTGAATCTTTTCCAGCCCAATGGCAATGGATGAGTAAGGGAGTGAGATGTGGAAATGCAAGTTCTCAGCAAGGAGTTGAACTGGAATGAACCGGTTCAGAGCCCTGATCTAATCTCCTAGGCACTGCAGGCCAATTTAGGGAATAGCCTCCTAATTACACAGCATGAAGACCTCATCAAGCAGATTGCTTTTCGAAGTTAGCAACTTCTGTTATCAAATAGCAAGTGACATGAACAGAAGAAGAGTGATATTAATAGTTTAATGTTTTCTTAGGAAGTAGGAGAATATCTTTGTTTTTCAAATAGATTATCTCCTCATTTCTCTATGTTGAAATTCTTCGGGGTTTGAAAGAAACCTTACCAGCATCTTGGTAGAAAGGTTCACCGGACAGAGTGAGGAAGTATGGGTTACATTGTCCTTTGAATTCCTTTATCTCATCTCTTGTTTATATTAAACAGATAGCTCTAAATAAACATTTCCTTCCGCCAGCTTAGAAGCTGTCCATAGAATATTCAAGTTCATAGCTTCAAATGCTGAACGAATCCTCTTTGTGTTTATATAATTCTTTTCTGTTCTTCATGAGATTGACTTTCTTCCCAAACCTGAGCATTTCTGTGTCATACTGTAGTGACACAGGCGCAGATTTACATGCATAATCTTTTTAAATGCACTGAAGACAGAAAATTGTGTTACATTTGTTTAACATGTGTCCTGCTTGATAAATGATACACAAGGTTGTTGCCTTCCATAAACGTGCCTGCAGCTAGAGTTAATGATGAGAAAGAGAAAAAGGAGGATGAAAGCCACAGCATGATTTGAACAAAACTGGGTAAATGGTAAAAAATAAAATCCAAGAAAAAGAAATTCTCCGGTGTTCTTAAGATATTGCTGTTGTGGCAGGAAAAGAATGAATGCATATTGTGTATGCTGTGTTGCCAAGCACTTTCTCTTGTTTTGTGAAAATTTCTCTCTAAATTTTTTATGAACATTATTCCATTTTATAGAGGAGGAAACTGAAGCCTGAGGTTGACGTGATTGAATTTACACCCCTCTCCTCAGTGTTTTATCATCTTTTGTCCTTTAGCTTAAGCATAGCAGTGATAAACATTGCTGATTGGTTATTGTAGTCTTTTCTTGCTAGCTCTCATGTGGGAACTATGATCCTACAGGCAGAGTACTTCCAACCATCACATTTTAAAGCAATTTAATTGCCCTGGGTTACTGCTGAACATTCATTCAGTGCTTATTTTCTTTATATAGAGCTATTTTCTGAGGTTAATTCACTAACTACTTGGGGACAGGTTGGAATCCCCAAAGGGCAAGCTGTGTCTTAACCAGTCTCACTGCTTTTATGTTACTCTTTGTGTTATTTCCTTTTTGCCTTAATAAATTCTTAAAGTTTAAATGCTCTGCCTTGGTGTCAGCTCTAGGTGCTCCAGTGTCTGCAAAGGTAGGCTGAATGCAAACAGTTGGGCCAGACTCTGAAAGAGAGGTGGTAGTGGTGGGATATTAGAGCAATGAGTAGTTGGTCAGTTAGTAAAGAACTTCAGAAGAAGAAGCCTTGGAGACTTGAGATGAGGTCATGCTTCAAAATGGAGAGTCTCCCTTTATTAATCTTACAGATTTGTTTCATTTTATTACGGAAGATAGACCTCTAAAGGAAGAAATTTCATTTCTGTAGCTAGCTCTTTTATTCAACTTACCCATGTGCTATAGAGGAGCCTTAGGGGTACAGTTGCTAAGGCACCTAGCTGTAAACAGAAAGGTCAGCAGTTTGAACCCACTGGTGGATCCAGAGGAGAAAGATGTGGCAGTCTGCCTCCCTAAAGAGTCATAGCCTTGGAAACCTTATGAAATAACTCTACTCTGCCTTGGGTTCACGGTGCATCAGAATTGACTAAGGCAGGTGGGTTTGGGTTTTTGGTGTATTTTTTTATACACCAGGAAGTTCTAGTGGCCTAGTGGTAAGAAGCTGCACTGCAAATCCAAAGGCATGCAACGTGAATCTACCAGCTGCTCCACGGGAGAAGGATGGGCAGTCTGTTTTCATGTGATCTACTCCCTCTGAAAATCTGCTAGAGGGTCAGCAATTTGTCAGTTCAGACTTGATGGTACGCAACAACTTTGTACACCAGGGAGTTGCACTGCAAACTGAAAGGCCATACCTCTCTGGCTATTGGAACTACCAGTGGCTCTGCAGCAGGAAGATGGACATTTTCTTCCTGTACAATTAATAGCCTCATAAACCTCTTGGAGAGTTAGTTCTGAGTTGGTTCAAACTCAGCAGCAATGAGTAAATGGGGTTTCACCAGACCTAATTCTAAATTATTTCTTGAATAAATGGAGGAATTTGGAAACTATATATAGACAAAGTAGTGTTACTTGTCTCAGAGTTGAGGATCCTAGAGTTTTCTCCTTACAGCCAGTGACTAAGTGTTATGGTGGGGTCCTCACTTGATTTTTGTTGGGTTCTCAGGGAAGGCATTATCCTGCATGTCTCCATATACATAATGAAAGACAGTATTTAATTATGTAGAAGGTTTTTTATTTACAGCTTTGATAGCCTGTGGTTAGTAATACCATTTTAAGAATTTCCTATTTTAAGCAATGTTACATCTGTGTGTAGCCTTCCAAGGAGACGATTCATTTACTGTGGAAGCTCTGGTTTGTCTTTCTGACTTACAGTTATACCTCATACAGATGCAGAACTAAGATTATTTTTGTAATGAAATGGAGATTTATAGGCACCACCTACAAAAAAACCCCGTAAAAAGTAAAATAGACGTACAGCAATCACCACTCATTTTAAAACAGAAACTCTAGAAGAATTCAAGGCCAAGAATTGGTCCTGTGAATGTGGAATGCTTTTCTAAGTGATGTGTGTTGGCGCTAATCAAACCTAAGATTCTTTTGGAAATGTCAGAGGCTTTGTTTTCATGAATTTCACATAGGAATGAAAGTATATGCTTCCTTGTTATCCTTTAGGATTTCATATCAGGTATGACTCTAACATTGCTTGATTGTGAGGTGAGTCACTTTGGGAAATCAAGGGACCAGTGTGTCATCTAGCACATTTGAGAGCCCTGCACGATGTCGGACAGGGCAGCAGTGTATGACATCAGCTCAGCTCTGTTGGCTGTTTTGAGCATTCTTACCTTTTTAGAGTAAATATATATGTAAGTTTATATAATAATGCCCTTTGACTTTTACTATATACCAGACATGGAACAGGATGTATTATTAATGTTATTTAGTCCACTCTACAACAGAATGTCCTTTTCTTTGAATGCAAAACAGAAGCTTAGAGTGGTCAAGCTTTTTGCCCAAGGGCCACATGCTTAGCTGAGTTGGGGTTTGGACTGATAACTTTCCTTTCCCAAAGGCCAAGCTTTGGGAAAAAGCTTCTTCTTCCTCAGGAGTGGAGATTTATTGCTTATTCAAACATGTAAGTTTGGGGATTGTAGATGTGAATGAGTTAAATTTATTTACTTATTCTAAATCAGCACTGGTATATTTTGAGTGTAAAATGTCAACTGGGATTTTTAATGTATAAAATCTTTCATCTGTCTTTACACCGATTTTTGCACAGAACAGCCCCTCTCCCTTGAGGATTTGTTGTGGTTTTGATCTGCGTTGCCTCAAACCATTGAAATCTTTTCAAAGAAGCAGAGCTGTTTTCTTTTTAGTTTTTCTTCTTTCCCCTTTTTTTCTCTCCCGCAGTACACTGGTACCAGGAGTGGACATAGTTTGCTATTCAGCTTGATCAAAGCACTCTACACCAATGTAACTTCCTGATCTTACTGGTAACAGAACTAAATGTTTCCATGTTCTGCCAAGATGAGTTGCCAGTTATGGACAGAGGGCTTGCATCTGGTAATAATTATTTACTAATTCTGTTTACCTTTTGATCTGGTTTTCAGTGTACAGCTGCAGCTATCAAGGCTATAAGAGAAAGTGGAATGAATCTGAACCCAGAAGTGGAAGGGACGCTAATTCGAGTGCCCATTCCCAAGTAAGTTTGGCTGAAATGCATATATTTCAATGAAACAGGGTAGTTGTCCTTGGAAGGAAACCCAAATTCCCTGGTAATGTTCAGCCAATAGCATACTATACCTATAACTTTCATCCTGGAAAAATGTTCTCTTTTAATGATGTTGAAAACATCTTTTCAGTTTCACTTTATTAATTCACAGATTTGGACATGCTTGAGCCCGCTGTGATAGTCACTGTGTCAGTCGATCTTGTTGAGGGTCTTCCTCTCCTTCTCTGACCCAAATAAAGTCATTCCAGATAGTGAAATATAATAGAAAAAGAAAAAGCAGTAGGAAGCAATAAGACTTGGAGGATGTGGTGGTGGAAGAAGCAATTTAAGTAGATGGCGTCTGAGCTGAGAGTTAAATGGTGAGAAGGAACTAGCCTAGGGGAGGAACTTTCCAGACAAAGTGAATAGCAAACACAAAGACCCAGAGCTAGGACAGATTTTGAAATGCTTGAAAAAGAAAAAGGTCAGTGTTTCGGAAATTGAGTAAAGGAGAGGTAGTGGTTTGTTTCATATATGGATATGTGTATTATATAATGATCCCTGGTGGCATAATGAAGTAAGTGTTTGGCTGTTAACCTGAAGGTTGGAGGTTTGAGCCCACCAGTGGCTCCCAAGTAGAACGATGAGACAATATGCTTTCATAAAGGTTTATAATCTTCAGAGCACTATAGGGGCAGTTGTACTCTGTCATATAGAATTGCTGTGAGTCAGAATTGACTTGACAGCACTGGCTTTGGTTTGGAATATATTATCTGTATCTATGTAATAGATACCCAGCCACATAAATGGAGGTGGGACCAGTCAACAGGAGTTTGGATCTTGTTTTAAATGTCATGAATTGGATACCATTGGAGGGACTTAAGCAGGAGGAATGAGTATCTCTCTGAATGTTGATTAATGAATAGAATGCAGAGGACAGAGTGGTTATGGAGAGAACAGTTGGGAAACAACTGTAGTATTCTAGGTGAGACATAAATTTTCTCAGATTCCAAAGCTTACAGAATTAATTTCTGTTTTTGTAATCTCATAGTGCTTTAGGTATTGGAATACTGTGGGATTTGTTTACTATTAATATAGTTATCTTTTTATGTATCCTCCTTTTCTAGGTTAGGAGCTCTTAGAGCATAAGGAACCATTTCTTGATTAACTTCAAATTCTTATTTCAACAATGACCCACTCACATGTAGTAAGTCCCAGTATGCATAGAGTTAGCACATTCAGTCGTTTGACGAATGTAATTTAAGTACTCACTACTTGTCAACTGCTTTCCTAATTACTGGGTTATAAACAAAACAGATGACACAAAGTTCCTTTCCTCATGGGTTTTAAGCTGAGAAGGTACAGTAAATGGAAAAGGAAATAAATACATACTGTAATGTCTTGTGGTGATAAATGTGTGTGTGTGGGGGGGAATAGCCAGATAAGAGGATAGAGAGTGTTGAGTGTGTTACAGTAGATAGGGAAGTGTGGCAAGGAAGTGACTTTTGGACACTGACCTAAGTAAAAATGAATGAATGAAACTTTCAAATAGTTAAAAGAGGAACAAGGTGTAATGATTATTGATTGTCTTTTCATGTCACACATCATCCTGTATTCCTTTACTTAAATTGTCTCATTTATCACACATTCCTTGAGGAGTAGGGGGTTTTTTCAGCCATGGAAATTTAGGCTCAGAGATGTAAAATACTATCTCTGAGGTTATACAGCTTGCACTGAAGCTGAGACTTAAACCCAAACAGTTTTTGCTGGTGTGCCCTTGAGTCGGAACTGACCCATAGCTGTCCCTCCAGTGAGTTTTCAGAGGCAGTAAATTGCACAGGAGGAGATTGCCCATCCTTTTCCCACAGATTAGTTGATTTAAAAACACCATAATGTTCCCTTCCTAACACTAAAATGTAATAACACTATGGCAAAAAGAAAAGACTGTCCTGTTCCATTATGTTCTCAGTATTTTTGTAAGACTTTGAAAAATGTAAATTGAGAACACTGTAACTTTTTT